GCGATATGAATGGCCAGGTCGAGATGAGAAGGAAGAACACATTTGGAAGGGGAAACAATGACGTACCTACAAAGCCAAAAAAGGATAAAGGCAGTATGCTCCTGGTCGGTCACAGGGGTCCCTGGCGCCCCTTGCTGGTCGGTTGCGAACTTTGTCCAACCCCATTCCTTCACACCTTGTAAAGACCACCCCGGATGGTCTTCTGATGGCTCCTGCCCATCTAGGGCTCCCATCACAGGGTCTTCACCCACGACAGGGAGATGCGCGATCATTGCCACATCCATAAGAGTTGGACCAAAGGGGCCCGATGGTAAGAGAAACGTCCCATTTTCCGCATTCCAGAAGGCGGACATGGCCAAGAGCACCTTCTCATGCAGATTGATCGGCATGGTGGACAATAGTATTGCTTGGTCGATTTTTTGAGATCGCCATTGGGTCTGGAAGTGTTCTGCTACCCGTCGATACCAAGCGCGGTAAGGATCTTTTGGGTCCGTGAGATGGGTTTTGATGCTGTCTCGAATACGAACTGCTTGGTAGTTAGGGTTGTTGATAGCCAAGGAATTTCGGGATTCCAAAACTTCCCTCATCCGATTTGAGTCTTCAGGAGTAGTGCAATATGGACGGATCGTCGGAGTTAGTACTTTCGAGGCTGAAAATGGACCCTCTGGGAGGGTTCCGTCGAAAGGAAGGGCAGGAATGTATTGATTCGCCATAGTTAGAGTGTTTTGGGAATGTGATTCACAAAGGCTTGTATTGCGGAGAAGGAAGTTAATCAGGAATATTGCAGTAACTGGTGCAGTTGCTAAGGGAATTTTTCAAGAGGGTAGTGATCTATGAACTTCCAAACATTGATTGTTAAATGGTGTTTGAAAGTCCCTTGGCGGCGGGCAAGTTGTTACGTACGAAATTTAGAATTAGGTTAAAAGCCCAAGGTAAAAAGAAGAATGGGCCTGGCAATAGGGTTGATTGAACTGGCTGAAGGACACCGTGAGGAAATCAAGGAAAATAGATTTATTTCTAAGGAAAATACAAGACGGAAAGTCCTCAGGTCGGAAGGTCTTCAGGTCGGTAGATCCTCAAGACGGAAAGACCTCAGGTCGGAAGGTTTTCGGGTCGGGAGGTCTTCAAGACGGAAAGTCATCAGGACGGAAGGTCTTCAGGTCGGTAGATCCTCAAGACGGAAAGACCTCAGGTCGGAAGGTTTTCGGGTCGGGAGGTCTTCAAGACGGAAAGTCATCAGGACGGAAGGACTTCAGGTCGGTAGGTCCTCAAGACGGAAAGACCTCAGGTCGGAAGGTCTTCAGGTCGGAAGGTCCTCAAGGCGGAAAGTCATCAGGACGGGAAGTCCGCAGGTCGGGAGGCCTCAGGTCGGGTAAACCGTAGATCGGATAGAAGGCGAAGTCGGACAGACGCGGAGGTCTTTGATCAAAGACGGAGGGCGGCTGATGCGGAGGTCGGCCCAAGTGAGGTCGGGCGAAGAAGCAGGTCGGGCGAAGGACGAAGTCGGGCCAAAAGAGCGGAAGGTCTGTGGTCGGCTCAAAGAGTGAAATATAGGGATAATTTTGGTCTGCTGGGGACACGTGTCAGCATGAGAAGGGTTGGAAGACGGTTGGGAAGGAGACGTTGTAACCGTTCGGGTGACGGTTTTCAGTACGGTTTCCCAGAGAATATTTAAAGGTTTGAATCATCATTTGGCAAGGCATCTTCAATCAACTTCAACAAAGCAAAGTCAGATTTGGGGATCACCACTTTAAATTTCAGTCTTTTATTTTCCAGTTTAGTTTCTGTACCATACAGTGTTTAGAGATTCCTAATCTCAGGCACTAATTAATCAAGTTTAAGGATATTTTCTATATCTTTGAATTTTACTTTATTTTTGTTGAAAAAATACATCAACAATAATAACAAACAACACACTGTATTATTTATGACAATACATTCATTATGTTAATATAATAAAAATACAACACATTAATTAACAACACATGCTATATTCACATACAATACACACAACGGATGATTTTAATCTATGACATACCCTTATACAACACACATAATTCTGAACAAACATCCCACGCCTCTATTACACACAACATGTGCTGTTTGTATGTATTATAGGTGTTGATTTGAAAATTCAGTACCGTATTGAAATTTTCAAATCAACACCATAACAATTCCCGTTAAAAGTAGTATCATGATATTTTTGCCCTTACTCTTTAGTGGAAAAGTAATGATGTGATGTAAAATAAGGGTATTTATGAAAAAAAATGAAGTATTTAATAAAATATTTGCTTTGTAATTGGACGTCCCAAATAAAAATATGCATACTTTTTAACTGGAGTGAAAGAATAATTATTATTTGTACATAATTGTTTTATATTAATATTACATTAATTTGTAACAAAAAAATAAAAATACATTTTATTAAAATTATTTTGTAATATATTATAAATCACAAAATATTTATTATATTATATAGATAATATAATTATTAGATTCCAAAAAATATTCTTATTTTGCACTAACAAAAGCAAAATTTAAAATTCCTTTTTATTTAATAGTAAAAACAAAATAAAATGAGTATATTTTTTTCGTCGAATTGAAAGGTTGTCATTTTTTATTTTATATCGGTTTCGTTGAAAGGTTGCCATTTTTTATTTTCTATCTGTTTCGTTGAAAGGTTGCCATTTTTCATTTTCATATATCCCAAACAAGATTATCATTTCATAATTTAGTAATTGTAATATCCACCTAACATAATAAATAACATTCCAATTTACACTATATTATACAAATATCATTACTTTTATATTATACAATACTAATAGGGGTATTTCGTCTTTTTTACTATAACATATTATAATGTTAATATTAAAAAATATATGTAAAAAATAAACGACAACCTTGCGTCGAAACGAAAAGAATATATTAAGGGTGTGTTTGTTTGGAGGATTGGATTTTGAGTAGGGATTTGAATAGTAAAAATTTTGAATTTGAATAGTTGTATGATGTGATATAAATAGGTGTTGATGTGATGTTTTGAATGTAAAATTGATTTTTAGTATAATATAAAAAATGAAAAATAGGTGTTTGATTTGATGTTTTTGGGGGGAAAAAATTGGATGAATAGTAAAAAAAAAATCCAATCCCTCAAACAAACACACCCTAATAGTTGTTGTTAGCACTGCGTTTAATTTTTAAAATTTACCCAGCATAAATGAGTTTGTTCTTTAGCAGTGTGTTGTGTGCATAGTGTAGTAGGATCTCATCAGGTGAGTGATGGATGAGTGTGACAAAGTCAACAGTAGTGACATAACTTGATGATGATCGACAATTCCGTCTGTATGACTTTCTTTCTTTCTTTCCCATTATTAATAATCACTTTTGCTTGATGATCGTGTGCATATATGTTGAGAGAGGGTGAGACAGTTAGCTTAGTTCAGAAATGGAGGGCAGCAGCAAAAGGGTAAAGAAAGCAACCAGAAACATGGGGCTAAATTAATTAGAGTGGCCATAGCCATGTGCACTGACCAACGTACAAACAGATCGATGAGAGTGAGAGTTTTGAGTTAGAGTTACAGTAAAGAGACAAGGAAACAAAGAAACGAAGGTTGCAGAAGGAGGATATGGAGATTGAAATTTACCCAATTCTCTCTCTCTCTCTATTTCTTAACTAATGGAGTACTCTTCTTTTTTTTTTTCTTTTTTTCTTTTTTCTTTAATTATTTATTAATTATATTTTATCTAAATTTTTATTTTTATAGTAATACATCCAATTTACACTCACGGATGGAGTAAAATACTATTTTCGTCATAAACACCATTCAATATTTTTTGTGGTATATTCCAAATATTTTGTAATATTTTTAAAATAAAAAATAATTAATTATATTTAATTTTTATCTTACACTTTATCCTCTCACATCATCCATTATCCTACTAAATACTACCCATCTAAAAATTTATGCTAAAAATAAATATTGCATTTTGTTTGGAACGGATGAAATACTACTGTAATATTCTTAATTTACCGTATGAACTCAGATGGATATCAGCAGTACTCTTTTCGTCATGCAAATGTGTGCTTATTAAATTAGATACAAATTTTAATAAAATTGAATAATAATTATTTTTTTTTTATAATAAAAAAGTTAGAAAAAGAAATTAAAATATTTTTTTATGATAATTAAAAAAAAAATGATCATATATTTGATCGACTAGAGTAAGTATTATTTCATTTTGATTTCTTGTTCCGTGAGATGTGATTGATAGACAGGCGTCTGAGTCTGAGAGATTTTATTGATCCACAGGTCAATTAATGATTTTATCATATCATATTATGTATATCTACTTGTAACTTGTGTGTGTCTCTCTCTACGTTTTTCTAGCAGTGGGGGCTCACTCTGTCTCTCACTCTATATATATATATCTGTCTGTATCTCTTCTTCTTCTGTGTAATGGATTTGAAGGCAGGCACGGCACCCCCTCTTGCACCATGTGTTGTATTCTTACCTTTCATTTTCTCACACTAACACTCATCTCATCAGAACAGCAGCTATAGCTGTCTGTATAATATATATATGTATATATATCTGCACATTTCCTCACGCACGCACGCATACACAAGCAAGCAAATACCCCTACTCTGCCCTAACCCTAATCCAAACCCTACCCCCTACCCAACCCTACCCTGCCATCGTATTGCGTGTACAATACAAACATACATCATCCATCCCTACACTACACTGGGGCTACCCATCTGTAATTGTATCTGTAATGTATTTTTAACTGATATGATATGAAATGATGATATGGGCTGCTGCTGCTGCAGATCAGACTGCAGAAATCGACTTCAGACGCCACAGAATTTGCAGAGATTTTTTTTAAAATTAATTTATTAGATTAGGGTATCATGATGCTGATGCTGATGATGATGATTTTGATTTAGGGTTTCCTCTCACTCTGCAAATCGATTCATCAAATCCCCATGAGCACGACGCCCTCTTCCCAAAATCCCCAAAACTTTTCCTCTCTCTATCTCTCTATATATATGTGTGCATTAATGGTTAGGTAATTCCTCTGACGTTTTTCAATAGTGTTGCTTTTAATTCAGAGTAACTTATCAAATCAAACAAAAACCCTAACCTGCAATGGAGAACAGCAAGTATCATCATCCTCGCCACCGTCAATGGCAGTTGGAAAGGCAAGACGACGCACTCCCCCCAGGCTTCAGATTCCACCCCACCGACGAAGAACTCATCACCTGCTACCTCGTCAAGAAGGTCCTCGACTCCTGCTTCACCACCAGAGCCATTGCTGAAGTCGATCTCAACAAGTGCGAGCCATGGCAACTTCCCGGTCAGCACTCCAATTCTAATCCATTTTTAATTACAAACTCGGCAAAATTGCTTCCATCCATGGCTCAATTTCTGCGCAGGCAAAGCCAAAATGGGCGAGAAAGAGTGGTACTTCTTCAGCCTCCGCGACCGGAAGTACCCGACCGGTCTCCGGACGAACCGCGCCACCGAAACCGGCTACTGGAAAGCCACCGGAAAGGATCGCGAAATCTACAGCTTGAAGACGACCGTATTGGTAGGGATGAAGAAAACCCTAGTTTTCTACCGCGGCAGAGCTCCCAAAGGGGAGAAGACGAATTGGGTAATGCACGAGTATCGCCTCGACGGAAAATTTGCTTACCATTATCTGTCCAGAGATTCTAAGGTAACTAAACCCCCAAATCAATTTTCAAAATCGAAGATTTTCTGTACTCTCTGTAATTGCAATTATTTCTTGCGTTTCTTGCATGGTTTGGAAAATCTGGATTTTGCTTCTGAATCTGATCTGTCAGTGTTGTTCTTGTTGTTCAGTTTGTATTTTGCTGTCCTTTTGACAACGATGGGACGAGAACGAAATCGGTTGTCTTCTGCTTTAAGTTTTCATTAAATGAACTGAACTGAACTGATACAGTACTTTAGTGTCCGTCGTTTTCTGTGAATAATTTCTCCGATCGGAAACGTCGGCTGTTGCATCATCTTGTGATCTTCGAGTATCTTCGATGACGGCACTCGATTTTTGATGTGATTTGATGTCTGAAATTGAAGTGCAGGCCGAGTGGGTGATTTCTAGAGTGTTCCATAAAACCGGCGCCGCCGGCGGGAAGAAGAGGCCGTCGGCCGGTAACGGTTCTGCGATCTCCGACGTCGGTTCCCCGTCCTCCGTCTCCTTGCCGCCGCTTCTGGAGCCGCCGTCTAGCGAGAGCTGCTCCTGCGACGGCGGCGGCGGCGGCGTCGCCATTGCCAAGGAGCACGTGCCCTACTTCTCCATGACTGCAACTCCCAGCTTTAACCAGATTTCGTTTTTCGACCTCCCGCCGCCGCCGCCGCAGATATCTCTGAGCGCATTGGCGCACGAGCCGTCATCATCTTATGCTGCTTACCGCTTCCCGAGGCAGCAGGATCTAGCTATGGCGCTTCCCGGCCAGGACTCCGGCTTGCAGGCGTCTTTCTTCTTCCCGGCAGCTGTTGGAGCTCCGCCGGCGGTGGGCGGCGTCGATGATTGGCGCGGGTTCGTGGCGCCGGAGAATCAGGTGAGAATGGACGCCGTTGAGTTGGATCGCATTTGGAACTACTAGAAAATGTGTCGTGTTGTTTTGCCCTAATTTTGATTAGTCTTTTACAATTAGGGCTATTTGGTAAGATTGTGCTTTAATTAATTAATTAGCTATGTTCTGTATTAGGTATTAATTCCTGAGTTTATTTATGTACTGTTATTGTTATGTTCTTATTTTTGCATTTAGTCTTGCTTCATTCCATTATTAGTGATTGAATGGGGGGTTCTAATCTACATATAGGGTGTGTTTGTTAGAAGTATTTTGGTGGATTTTTACTATTTATTTTATTTTTTAAAAAATATTAAATTAAAATATTTATTTTTTATTTTTTATATTATATGAAAAATTAATTTTATATTTAAAATATTATATTAATATTTATTATATATTTTTTTTATTTTTGTTTGTTGTGTAATTGATATTTTTTTTATTTTGATAAAATTTATTACCTTTAAATATTTTTAATGAATATGAATTAATGTAATTAATTACTCTATCCGTCTTAGATATTGTGTCTGGTATATTGTAGAAATCGATATTTTAATAGGGGATATAATTAGTAGATAATTAAAAATATATTAGTGAAAATAATTATTTTATAATATAAATAATTATAAATTAAAATAAAAATAATTAATTAGTTTAATTAAAATTTAAAAAAAAATTAAAATGAGATTAAAATGTATAATATGTAGGACACGGACAAAAATGTGAACTTTGTATATGGGACGGATAGAGTATATAATATGATAGATATTATATAAAAATTTTGAATTGGTATAATTCAATGACATGATAAAATGGATGTTAATGTTTTAATTTAAAAATAAAATTAATTTTTTATTAATAAAAATAATTATAAATTTAAATTAAAAAATAATTTTTAATTAAAATTAAAAAAATTATAAAATTTAAAATTTAAAATACGATTGAAATATATAATTATATTTAAAAATATAAAAAAGATAAATTATATGGGATGACAAAATATAAAATAAAAATAAATTATATTGATCAGAAATATAAAATAATATATTTATGGATTGAAGAGAGGGAGTATATAATAAAAAATTAAGAAATAAATATTTAATTGATTGTTTGAAGAAAAAAAAATTAATAAATAGTAAATTGGATGAAGTTTGCCAAGAGAACCTTGGTTTATTCAATTTTTTTTCTCTCTTTAATAAATACTCATAAAATTTTGTATCTTTTATGAAATTAATTTACATTAAAATTTATTTAAATATAAAATTTAAATTAAATACGAAGAATCATAAATTTACAGGGTCATTTTTCTTTTTCTTTTTAATTTAAAGAGAATAGTTATGGTACATTTTTGAAATAGTGTAATAAAAATGTGTTTATAATTACAAGTTTTGTAAGTAGGTCGTAAAATTAACTGTTATGCATATTGTATAAGGTTATAATTAATTAATGTGTTATATTTGTATTATATTAATATATATGAAGTATTTACTAGTTTTTCTGTTCGACTTTAAATGTCTGATTTATTTTTTACGTCATTGTACTTAATATTAAAGTATCTTTATATTTGTATAATTTTTTTTACAAATGTCATTATAATAGATTATAAGACACTGAAAAAAATACTCCCTCCGTCCCAAAAGAAATGTCTTATTGAGAGTTGGCACGGGAATTAAAGAATAATAATATTTAATTGAAAGTGGTATAAAGTAAAATATAAGTGACTAAAATGTCCTTACTTTTGAAGGATTTTAAAGAGTACGTAAGAGTAATAATTAGAGGTAGTATGGAAAAGTAAGAATAATTTTGTTATAAAGTGGGGACCACGATTAAGGAAACAAGACAATTGTTTTGGAACGGACGAAAATGGAAAAACAAGACAAATATTTTGGAACAGAGAAAGTATTTGTTTTTTCTTTAATTTGTACTATATTTTTATATAATAATTGATATTTAAAAATCAATACTAAAAAAATAAATGAGACTTTAGAGTTAGACAAATATAATATCTGAGATTAAAATAAATAATATTATTTTATTTAATTTAATCTCATATTTACTTGAATGTATTAGAATTATATATTAATTAAAATCTCTTTCAATTATACTAGTTTATATTTTAATGTATTAGAGCCCTCGATTTTACTCATTAATTTTTTCTTTTTATTTTTTATTCATTGCTTTTATAACAATAAAAATGCATTACTACGAACAAATCTCATGCTACGAGTCATGTAACATATACAATGAAGGCTAAAAACATGCAATATCAATAGACACACAACAACAATAATAATGATAGATAAATGTGAATATAATTAAAATAAAACGATAAAAAAAAAAAAAAATGCATTGCATTTAGCATCGTATATACTGCACATTGATTTTATTTAATAAAATTAAATAAAATATTTCATATAATTAGGTCAATAATAGAACGGATTACGTGAAATGCGACTTAAGAAACGAAAACGTGTTATTGAGAAGTGCGACATACATGTGGGACGGCGAGCGCTTTCTTACTCCTGCCTGTTCGTTCTGTTCAGATTTGGGAGTAGAGAACTGGGTTTGCAGTTGTCGTCGTGGCTGTGGCTGTGGCTCCCATACGTATATACCTCTGTCTCAGGTGCAGCCTCGTTCTCTATCCTCCCTATTTTGATTGCAATTTGTGCATAAATTCTCATGCTCGTATTGTTTTTCGCATTCTTTCTGTGGTTTCTCTCAGGTTGAAGGAGGAGCGGCGATGGGAGGCAGCGGTTCGTCGTCCAGAAGAAAATCGTCCAAGCGGAAACGCGACAAGGTGTTTTTTCAAAATTTAAAGTTAAATCATAAGTTAATTTATATGTGAAGGTTTCCATTATTTGGTTTGATGTAGTCCAGTTTTAGGTTTTGATCGGGGATCTGTTCTTTATATCCGCCAAATGCTATGCAGCTAGGGTTTCCAATCCTATTTCTATAAATTTTATTTGAAAAAGGTTGAAATTGTGGAAAACCACATAGTTTGATAACATTTTGTTTCTTTGTAGCCAACTATAGTGTTGAACAGAATTCCTGTTGTTTGGATTCAAGCGGTATTTTCGAGCATTTCTTCCCATGGGGGAATAGGATAGGATTTCTCCCTGATTCTGCCTGTGAAATTATTCCAGTTCTCAACTGCATTTCCTATTCTATGGTTGTCTTTTGCAGAGGAAAAAAACTCGAAGAAAGGAGTCGAAGAAGCGCCGCCATGTTCATGATTCGGAGTCTTCTTACTCTGACTCTGAATCATTGAACTCCGACGACATAGCTCATAAATCAGATCATGTAAGAAGAAGTAAACATAAGAAGCTTCGTCGCGACTCTTCATCAATGTCCTCGTCATCATCCGATGCTGATAAGTCTATAAGCTCAGATTCTGATTCCTTGCCCACGCCTAAACGTAGCCGCAAGCATAGGAAGAACGGACATTCACGAGTTGTTTTCAAAAGAAAAAAGAAACGAGATCAGAAGAGATCTGCTCGCCCAAGATCTGATTCAGATGCTGGCAGTACAAGAAAAAGGAAACGAGCCAACAGCAATGCTAAATCCCAAAGGAAATCCTCAAAGAAGAGATCGAGAAAATACTCGAGCAGTGATTCAGAAAGCTGCTCTACATGCCATAGTAGCAGCTCAGACAGCAAGCACCCCAGGAGTAAAGCAATTTTCGATGAGGATGACCGATGGGTGAAAGATACAGAATCAAACAGGACTTCTCATATTCACGAAGATAGGTTTCCAAGTTATTATTCTTCACACAGTTGGGGGAGTGATCATAATATTGGAGTCAACGATGGTATTGGAGCTACCAGGTGGGTGGATAATCCCCGGCGCCTGAAATCTGTTATTGCTGTTATTGATCGATCCCATGGTGATGATGAAGGAGAGAATAGATGGGGAATGGATCAACATAAAGAAGAGATTTTTTACGACCGAGAAGATTATCCTTCTCCCAAGAGCCTGGATAGTTATGAAGGTGGAACCAAGAGGGTTTCTGTAGAAAATATCGCAGGCGAAGAAGCACAATCGGAAGGAGCACTTGAAGATGATTTTAATAAGAAAGCGACAGACATCCCTGGATCTGCTCCGGCTGCTGGTTCAGGTGGGGATGATTTGGAGTTGATATTGAGGCAGAAGGCTCTTGAAAATTTAAGAAAGTTTCGAGGGAAGCTTCCGGTAGGATCAACGAGCACTGATAAAAATAGGAGTAATGACCATGACGTTAACTATCTGTCTGCTGGAAAGGCTGATTATGTTCACGAAGAATCAACCAAACAGGACAGTCCTAGCACTCAAGAATTGAGTAGTAGAGACGGGTCCTCATTGCTCAATGAGGTTAAAAAGGCCCCAGATGCTGAGGCCGTGGAGGGTGAACTCAGAATTTCTGAGCCGACTAGGGCAGCGCCCTTAGGACGTGCGAACAAAGACAAAGGCTTCAATTCTATTGCTGTTTTGACCAAACAGGATTTGAAAGGCGATTGTAACCCCGAGGGAGGAGATTCCATTGCCAGCAATTCTTCGATGGCACAATCTTCTACTCTAGCTGGGGTGTCTACAGGGGTTAGCAAGGCGGACCAACAGAATGAAGACAAGGATGGTTCTCAGTTTCAACAACGAATGATGTCGGTAATGAGGGGAGGTGAGATGGTTCAGGTAAGGGTTTGACTGGTTTCTTATTTAGAAAATGGTTAATTGATTCTGTATGATTTCTTTGTTTTTACTGGAACCTTTTAACAGGTGAGCTATAAGGTTTACATCCCAAACAAGACCCCTGCCCTGGCTAGACGAAACCTCAGGCGATAATTCTACGAGACATTCATTTCTGACTGTAGGACTACGGACCCAGGATGTCTATTTGTTGTATTGTCTGGTTGCAGAACTCGAGATTATTCGGCAACGGTATGACCTTCATTTTCTTTTGAAAATTGAAATCATAGAGCATATATATAACCTGTGGAGATTTATTTGTAGACTTCTTAACTCTAAATATTACTTTTGAGCATAGCTAGGGGATTTATATTGTAGTCCTTTATTTTGTGTAGCATAAGTCATCAAGTCTGCATATATATGTTAAATTCAACTCAGTCTGCATCATACAGTGCATGTACACGTCGAATGAAAATTTACGCACCTTATGAATAGTTCACCGTGTTTCAAATTGTAGCTCTCGGATGCTTTCTTCTGCTTTCTTGAAACCACTTACACAGGCCCAATCATCCATCATCGACACACTCATTCCCTCGAGGAATTGGGAATAACGTTCCATTACAGTCGGGACCTGTCCAAGAACAAGGATCTTGTATCAGATAGGTGGCATCTTCGTTCTCCCTATTAAAATCTTTCCTAGCCAATAAGTAGACAGTAGAAAGGCTATGCCGCTGTACCTGCTCGGATATGATCCCTGAGATGCCAATGACAGCACCTGGCTTTGCATAAGAGACTATTCGATCTGCTAAATCGAGCAGTGGATATAACAATATATTAGCAATTACCACATCATACTTGTCTTTCTCAGCGATTAGCTTCGGATTGTAGAGGTTTGCGGCGCTAGTGTTCTCATGTGGAGAGTCTTTCTCGAAATGACTGTTCTTGGTTGGAACAAGGCTTAGCAGCAGCTTCTCCATTCCGAGATTGTTCAGAGATGCGTTGTGTCGGGCCGATGCAATTGCCTGTGGTTCTATATCGAATCCAACTGAAAGTCCCGCACCAAACTAAAGATGAAACAAAGTATGTTTTGGTAACAAATCATATGAAGTCAATTATCAAAATAAAATGAGAAATTGCAAGTGCAGCAGTTCAACGAATTTCTAGTTTCTTGTGGCTTGGCTAGGCAAAGACAGTTGCAGCATTCACCAAGAATCTTGGAAGCTATGGGTACTTAGATTGATACAGAGAAGAATTTCATAACAAGGATAAAAGAAACATCCATTATAACTATAAAGTACCTTAAGTGCTGCTATTGCAAGAACACCTGAACCTGTGCCATAGTCCAGAAAGTATTCTCCTCCTTTTATTAATCGATGCAGCATCAGTAGACACAGCTTTGTCGTGGGATGTTCTCCAGTTCCAAATGCCAAACCCGGATTCAAAACAATGTTTATTGCTTGCTGATCCTGCCAGGTACTCATTTACAAAACCACACAACCTTATACACTCGCACGCTGCTTGAGCTACACTTCCTTGGCGAGGATTTAGAGAATTTGAATTCACTATGTTTAGATATATATTTTTAAAAGTTCTTTGTACTATTTATCAACAGTAATTTTTTTCTTTCAAAAAATTACACGAAATCTATGTTTTAGATATTACATCAAAAAGTATATTTTTTATATAAAAAACATCACACATCCAACCCTTTATATATCACATCAAATATTTAGTTTTTATTCAACTTTTTTACTACTTAATTTTTTTTTTCAAAATTCCGATGCCTCTGAAATTCTTATATAACCAGAGCCTTAAATAGAGTCAAATAAATGCAATTATTAAAATATAGTTCATAAGTTGGAAAAACATTCCTGTAAAAATGCAAATCACCCTTGAAGTTAAAGAATCTAAGATCACTTACAGGGGGGACTCTCCATTCAGGCACAATCCAAAGTTCCTCTGTAATTTCCACAGGATGAAAAGATTCCTGCAAAAATGGTGTTGGAAAAACTTTGAGCTACAAATGTTTTAGCCAATATGATTCATTTAAGGTGCATTGCGAGTGACTTTTGTCATTTCTACTTAACTAAACAAATAATTAAAAAGTTCAATTTCAAGAACAAAAAAGAATGTATGCTCAATCTATGAAAAGGCAACTGATTTATCAAAATTCCCTCCTTTAGAGGGTACAATTGTTGATGTTATTTTAATACCAATAAACATAATTAATAAATTTAACAAAACAATCACTCTAAAAAGAGTAGAGAACAAATTATATTAGTGTTGAGTGTATGCCACATTAAAAAATGTTGGAAAACTCCTCTAGTTTATAAGGCTGAAAAGCTAATATATCTCTAGAGGGAGAAGTATTGAGTGTATCGTTATAAGAGTGAAAGACTACTCTATTTTGCATAGTAAGTTGTTTTATACTAGTTTTTATTTTTTCTCAATTTCCATACAGGTAAAAAACTTTAAACATACAATTAGAAAACAACTATGCATAAGCTAAATCTAAAAGATCAATTTAGATAAAAAAAAAAATGATGTCTGCATATCATGTAAATACAATAAAAGACGAACTTTCTGTGATTTATGTCGGCTCTTATATAGAAAGAATGAATTTATTTCACAGCTTCTCTACAATTTAGATCAAACAAATGATCAGAATTTGTAGAATTTAATGGGCATACTGGCGTTTAGTAGTGTCCCTCCCTTTTTATTCCCTAAGATTTCCATTTCCAAAGTTTGGTAATAATGGAACACATGCATACGTTGTAATACAAAAGCGATTACATATGTGCATTCCAAAGCAATGACTGCATATTTACCTGAGTTTGTTTGATCCAATCAGTGTGGTCATGCATTTCAACTTTGTACTTAGGTATCTGCTTCAATCCCACCGAATCTGCAGCTCTTGCAACGCAAATTTTCACATCCATTTCTACATCGAATGTAGAAGTGATCCATATCTGAGTTACTAGACATCATGAGTTACCATACAGAATCACAAATGCTACTTCCAAGTGAAGCCATGGCACACAGCTCTTGAACAATGAGATTTCTTCAGTTGCAGTTTATCAACGAACACACAGAAAAGATACTAATTTAGAGAGAAGATACTAAGCCTAAGAAAGAAACCACAAGTAGTAGAAACTGAGTTATATGGTTATGCCTGTCATGAATCAGTAATAACGTACAGTTTATCCAAATAAATTAGGTTACAGAACCTCTTCATCGGAATTCTGGCGGTCTTCTTCATCAATGGTGGTAGAACTCGCCCCGAAACACATAAGAGACTCCGAAAGAACGTCCTGGTTTTGCAAAACAGACACCAAATAACTAAAACAACGCAAAGAAACACCACAAGCGCGCCATTCGCGGCGAAAGATAGAAGAAAGTGCGGCAGCCTTACAGCAACATGTCGCGGACAGGAAACGCGAACTGAAAGGTAAGGTGAAGTGAATGAATCATCGGCGGTTCCAATCCCACCGTTCAACGGTAGGGTAGAACAATAGAAGACAGCGGTATTCCGCCTCGGTAAGAGCTGATGCTTCGGTTTGGCTGCGGAAGAGAACGAGAATACATTCAGTAAAGAGAGACGGTCAATGCAGTAGCACCTGCGGCTGCCACGGCGGCGGAAGGAGGAAAAAGCGGCGGCGGAATTGCCGGATGTCAGATGGTCGACGAAACGCCTGCGAAGAGAAGAGAGCGCTAGAGACATTTGATTGAATTAGTATAAAAGGAGAATCTGCAAAGGGCGGAGGCAAACCATGTCGAAGATAAAATTCGGTGCTTTTCCCGCAAAGCATCAGAGTCCGAATAAGAAGGGAATGGTGTTTGCCCCGAACCCGCTGTCTCTCACCGTACCCGAACCCGAATTCGAATCGTGGCTCCGGGATTCCGGCTACCTTGAAATCCTCGACCAGCGAACCACCGACCTCCACCGCCTCACCGCGGCGGCGGAGGCGGAGGCGGCCGCCTCCAAACCTGCCAGTTCCTCGGCCGCCGCCAATTCAATCGCTCATATCGGAGTGTATTTCGTCTCGCAACTCTTTTCCCGAATCTGGACTCTTCTGTCGCTCCTGACGTTCAACCCTTTCTCGAAGCTTACTACCGAGGATTTCTCCGGCGATACTCCGCCTTGGGCGCCGGTCTTCTTCGGGTCCTTGGAATCGTATTCGTTCCCCTCTTCGGCTTCGCAGGCTCGCCTCCGTGTCCATGAGAACATCAAGCGCTATGCACGCAATTACGCCTCGCTCTTCGTCTTGTTCTTCGCTTGCTCTCTGTAAGTAACCGCATCCCCTCTCCTTGAACGTTCATTTGCTATCTAATTTTTCCAATTCACACCTTTTTCTCGATGCGTATTTGCAGGTATCAATTGCCTGCTGCTCTTTGTGGTCTTATTCTATGCTTGGCGCTGTGGGAAATCTTCAAGTTCGGTGCTGATCGGTGGGGGCTGGACAGATATCCTGTGATACGACAGACTCTGATTCGTTTGGCTCAATGTGGTGAGTTGATAACCATCATCATACTGTTTTCATTGCATTAGGTTTACTTCTTGCTGTTGGCATCTGCTAATAATGGAATTTGAAGAACTAAATTGGATGTAAGAGTTTCTACACCTGATCAAGAAACTAAACTGATCATCTACCATATCAATCCATGCACCATATTTAAACATCACGAATTCTGCTTTCCTTAAGATGTAGTGCATGCATTGGTTCAACATCAATGAGCAAATGCTAATTTTGAAGTGTGTTAGTTGAACTTTTCTGGTGAATAGAAAGATGAAGTAAGCTATGTAGGAAGGAACACTACAATTGTGTGCGTAAGCATTCAGGAGGAGAGGGTTAGGTTAGGTTAGGTTAGGTGTTTTGACATTTGCAGTTTATTTTTTTTAAGGAATGAGGCGAACAAGATCGAGAATTTTGAATCGGACAACCTTTACAACAGACATGCCTGGTTTTCCTGTGCTAGATGTTCTTGATGAACAACCTATGTATTTTAGTTTTAATGAAGTTTGTTCTTTTCTTGGGGGGATACTTTTTTCTTCCAAAGATTCATATTCTTGCTGTCATTACATGCGATTGCAAATAACCTATCTTATTATGATTCTTGTTCTTATCCACCATGCTCACTATTTATGTGCATTCTAAGTTATGCATACTTGTATTATCATGTGTTGATCATATAGCTTTCGCAACGATGTCTAATCTTCTTGGCCCATAAAATGGTAGTGACATAAGCCTTGTTTCTTGCAGTCACTGCAGTCATCCTGCTTACTTCCAATATCCAGTTGGCCATCTTTTTGACACTCGGCGTCAGCTATGCAGGTGAATTGAGTTCTTGCTTCCATGGTTTTTGAGATAATCTTTGCAAGTTCTTTAGCATCTTTCTGCTTGACACAAGCTAATTCTATGTTTGTACATTTGTGCAGTTATACTATTACATGCCTCATTTCGAAAGCTGACCACTGTAAAGCAACCTACTGCTAAGAGATAAGGAGAGAGTCAATATTTTCGTCATTGCTTTCTACTGCCAAAGGGCTTGAGGGGTATGAGTTCTCGCTATATACAGTCAACCTGCAGATGATATATGATTTGTGAAGCTTATCTAGAGATAATTCACTGTTTCTTAATACTAATTCTGAATAAAATGTTTTTCTGTTTGCTTCATTATCTTTTACTTCTTCAACTTCTTTCTCTCTTGATATGTTGACTAACCATAGCTGTCTTAGGGTTTATGATTGCTTTCCGAAATTATAATGTGATCTGAATGTAGAGTTTGGTTGTCAGAATTAAGACATTTTCTTCACTACTTGAGAACTCCTTTTCAAATGGAGCTGTTCTTGAAATATTTCTTCTAATTGCAGACAAGATATTGATCAACACTCAACATCATTTAGAAAAATTGGCACCATTCAATGACTACTTTAGTAGTAAAATTTAGTTATGCATGAAACAGAAATTCAATTGAGTTGGAAATTTTGCCTATGTAGTTTGGACTGTAGTTATTCTCTTAAACACAAACAAATAAATACGAGTATTATATCTGTTTGGGCGTTTAAGTTGAAGAGTAAAAAATCTAGAATTGAAATATAATGTAATATTTATTTAAGTTGAATAGTAAAAAATCTAGAATTGAAATATAATGTAATATAAATAAATATTTGATTTGATATTTTGAATATAAAATTGATTTATAATATAATATAAAAAATAAATAAATATTGATTTGATATTTTTGAAAAAAAACTAAATTGTATAAAATTCTCAAAATCCTTTGAGCAAACACACCCTTTAGTAAACCTTAATGAGAACCATTATAAGTTCATGGACATGGGATTTTGGGAATTGTGGCTTCCTCCAAAATTAGACAGCACAGGACAGCACTGAGCCAAAATTTTGGATTAATGAAATCCACACCAAGTACAATAACAATCTTGTTAAAAAAATACAATCACACGCCATAAAAAAAGGCAATAATAGAATTAATTGTCACTCAACTTTCTGCAGTCAAGAAACAACATGAAAAATTACATAAACAAAAATGATGACCAAGGAATATAAATTACAGTTTCCTTGAATGTTATGTACAATAACTCATTTCAAACTCAAAAACCAAAATTATAAATATTATCCCTCCCAAAAAATGTTCTTCCAAATTCATTTTTCAAGAATTCAGATCTCGGGAAGCATGGCCTTGCCATCTGCATTGTAGATGTATTCAGAGAAGTGTAAGCAGTCATCACAGTAGATGCAACAAGAATAATGAATAACAGTAAGTTAGAAGATACATAATTACAATACACAGCTATGATATTTATCTTGAACTTGCTGATGTGAGAATAAAGCAAGATCTCATAAATGATTCTTTTGGGCATAAAATAGTGTCAAGTCATGATAAAAATTTAAAAAAAAGGGTATTATCATGAAAGGTGATAAGTTTGCACTTCGATATTGTAAGAATGAATTCATGGGTTTAAATTTATCGCCTTATCAGAAAAAGATGCAACGGGGTTTAATGACAAACCTTGAGAGTAGGAACCTTGCAAGTGGGCTCATATTGGCATTTGAATGGTGCTCCTTGCTCTGCTGCTTTTTCTTGCTATCAGATGCTTCTGTATTTGTAGCCGGTGCTTCCTTTCCTTTTCTAAAGATTCGAGCAGCCAGATCCTGCAGGTCTTTCATAGACCCTTCCCTCGAACTACAAAATATTCATATGTTATAAAACAAAAGAAATATAGATCAATTCAGCAGAAATCAATATGCATATTGCTAATAAACCTGGCCAGTCGTTGAATCAACTTTGTAACAAGTATTTCTGAAGCCCCTGGTTTTGCACGTTCCATATCCATTAAAGCGTTGGCCACTGTCTGAAAGACTGATCCACCCATATCATCAGCAGTTGCCTGCACATTAGGTACACCAATCTGTCAAAGTAATGCCAGACAGAGAAATAAGAGACAGCAAAAACAGCAGAGGAACTGGAACAATGATCCATCTCAAGAATAAATAGCCAAAGTCTCTTACTGTTCTAATTACGATTACACTAGAGCTGATGACGTAGAGCATTCAATGCTCAGAAGCTGCTAAATTTTCCTTTTCTAGCATAGATTTTGCTCTCCACACTTAACACAGCATCATCTATCATTATACTGGTCCTTCCTTTATGCGTCTATCCAAGAATGTAACTAATTTATCTCATCAGACACGTAAATTTTTGAGAAGTTTTCCCCCGGTAGACACAAAGAATTATTGAGAAGTTGCCTTCTCTTATTAACTTCTAACACATAAATCCATTCAATCTATACTCTATTATGCTCCAACCACAATGGCTCGGAGTTTAAGTTTTCTACTTGACACAATTACTAAGTTGCAATCTAGGCTGACTGGCTGAGAGAATGACATCTCAGTGTTGTACGTGTAAGTTTTTCTCTGTCCTCACCCCCACCCAAGATAATAGATGTATGTTGATTGGAACAACATACAGCAGAGGGTTAAAATTTATACAAGATTCTAAGAGAAGCACAAATTTAAAAGGCTATGTAAATGATCTCAGGCTTACATCTTTAAGAGAAGGAATTAGAAGGACCGATAGTGGGGCAGACAGAGCCATAGCAGAACTCCTTGCATTGTCCTCATCATCACTTGTGTTTTGTGATCTTGAAAATGCTTTTTGAGCATCAAAAAATCTGGAACGAACATTTTATGAAAGTGAAGAAAATGAAAGAAAAAAATAATTTAAGATCAAGTGCTACAGGGTTGCCTATTAAAATATGTGGAAACAAATTATGTAAAGCTATAACCTTGATGAATCTGAGCTTGCTGATGCTTGTTCTGTTCTCCGGCTATCTTGCCCATCTCTGTTAGCCTTGCTCAATGCTGATCTCTCCCGCACATTGCCTTTTCTTGCCCCTTGAATAGCAGCCTTGGCCTAAAAGAAACATTAAGATGAGCAACACTTTAATATTTCTAGGAGGAATACCAAGGTCATCATATAAATGATTTCTATTCATAGCATCGTCTTCTAAAGCGAGCTTTAAGTTAACAACTCACATCAACATACTTAAAATATTGTCACGCCTTTTAATGAGAAATTAATATAAAGCTTTTAAACAGATAAATACTAAGTTGATCATGAAATAGAAGATAGAACTGAAGAGCCCCTAATGATTCATACAGAAGCAAGCAGTCTTGACCAAGTAATTTTTTACATCTATATATGCCATGGAGTGGATAGCTAAAGAATAAGGTGGTAGTATGGTATTTCAACCTCAGCAAGGTTTGTTTCACTGTCTTCAACTGCGGCGCTGGATGTTCTCTCTTGAAGTCCCAGCCTAGACTTTGGAGTTCTTGGAGAATCTGAATCATCATGCTGCCCACGATAGACAATAGTGCCACTTATGGAAGTATCTTCAGCAGAGGTGAGGGTGCTGCTAGACTGCAACATGAAAAAAATAAAATTAAAAATAAAATAAAATAAAATAAAACACTGTTGTATCACAGTATTAAAGCTGGAGCATTACTATCATTTGCAATGCTCAATCATCTAGCAATCATACCATTGAACTTTGGTTGCTGAACAGAGAGGAGGGCTGAGCACCTCTTGGAGATCGAACAACAACGGTTCCCGTTCCAGTAACATCTTCCTGTAGGTTGAGAACAACATATAGGAGATTGTGGGAATCTAATATCAAGTCATGACAGGCTTGCAATAGATTACGAATCTTAGCATTTCAAGCAAATCTATATAAACACAAACTATTATTTGTTAAATCCTTCAAAGTTCTTCTAGAATTCTTGAAAAGAATGCATTAAATCACAGAAGAGGCTATTCATTACTTAAAGTGGGGGAACCAAGTTCAAGAAACGTAGTAACAAGTGAGAGATAAACTGGATTTTATTTGTGAGATTTGTTTAAAAAAAGCAATTGTACTAAAGATCAGGTGAACGATCCAACATGATAACATAATTTCATGCTATGATCGCAAGGATCATTTCTGCATTATCGATGATTTCCTTCACAATTAATGCATAAAAGCAGAAGCCCCATACGCAAGATCAGAAACCAGTTTGTCCAACTATTACACACTACATTCACATTCTGATATAAAGGCTGGTGATCAGGCCAACACCATCAGAGGAATTTTTTGTTAAACCTGAGAACCAATGTAGTTGGGGTACCAAATGAGTACAATGCTCCTATAATAAGTCATCTGTTTTCCATTTAGAACCATATGAACACTCCCATTTAGATAAACTTGAACAATAGATTGAGCAGCCTAGTGGTGTTATTATATATAAGCTACAAAATGTCAGTATGGAATCAAAATATGAAATGAGCAGGCAGTAGCACACAAGGGATAGAAGTATCATACATCATCGTAAGAGTCTTGCAGCCCTGGGTTGTTAGCACCTTTACTCATAGAGATCTCTGACGAACTATGAAGCATAGATCCAGAAGCAGAAGACCGCTGGGTACCACTGTCAGCTGCTCTTTTATATGCAGATTGATTTAGTGGGACCTCTGGCTTCCTATCTCTCACTTGAGGTGGTTTTACTGCACTTCGGATAGTTCCTGTGCTACCCGATCCACCGATGCTGAAGTCCCATCCAGTATTTCTCAGACCCGTAGCCTGGTTGCTGTAAATCAAAGGCACTAGATGAACAACCAGAAACAATACAGGAACCATAATGTATCAGTCAGTCCAGATGGCCTGGTGGCGTGGGGTGGACTCATGACCAAGATCATGGGTTCAAATCCCCGATGCCTTTAGATTTTGCCTGTTACACATGGTTCGCCTAATGTGACTTACTTTGTCGGACCTAATTTACAAGCTATTAGGCTCGACCGAGGATTTACGCAAAGCGTACTCGAAGAGTAGCCACTGCGGGTTCCCACATTTAAAAGAAAAATAAATAATCATATGTATCAGTCATTGCAGCTTACCTGACTCGAACTGTGTCTTCAACAGGAGGATCTCTAGCTACCTTTACAGTTCCAGAAGCCTCTCCAAATGCATCTGGACCATTATTAGGTTTCTCTCCATCCATCTGGAACTTGGGGCGCTCTCTACATGCACATACCCAAATAAATAAAAATTTGTAAAGAATAGATGTAGATATGGTTAAATATTATTTGAACACTAGCATGAGAGTTGAGACAACTTTTGAAAGATACATGCTAAGAACTTGACATGTCATAGGCACTACTACCACCCAACTTCTGAGAATGTTAAATTGAACTACCACCCTTTTCAACAACATATTGACATATGTGACTTTGGGAGCGTGAGGTATAACAGCTGTTCCCCAAAACTGCTTTCTAATAGCTATTACTATAATGCATTTTCACACAAAATTGGGACATTAGTACGAATTCTACGAATAGCACAGAACTCTCCAATGAATTTTCATGGTAAACATTAGCTGAATAAAGAGAAATTTGACACACCTGATCCTCTCCACAAGCCTTGGACTCCTCCTAGCATTTCTGATAAAACGATGCTTAAGAAGTTCTTTAGCACTTAGCCTCTAAGATCAACAAGTGACAAAAAATAAGGTGGAAAGAAAGATTGTTGTATGAAATGAGGAAAGCATACAGGTAATAATAATATTCTCATCATTATGATTATTATAATTATGCACAGAAACAATGAAAAATGACAAATAAGATGCACCAGATACTGAACTATTTTAGTTTTCATTGGCAGGAGAGGCAGAGTGCCACTATAAGGTTATCAAGATGCAAACAATAAACCTTGTACATAAAAGAGAATAAAAATCAATGTGGCAGTTACTAAAAAACAATAGAATACAAGAGATGGAAACAAAGATGTAATAATAAATAGGAAACATCAGTGAAGTACTTCTAGGTACACTTCAGACATGATAAGATTGCAGGAAGAAATCACCAACCATATACTTGTATTGGGCCAATATTACGATTTATGAACTTTAATAATCCACTCAGAGGCAAGCATGCCTCAAGAAAAGAAATGATACTGGAGGAGTTCTCATTTCTTACTTTTCTTACTCAAGATGTTTGTAATCAGCCTTAACTAATTATCTATTTATACCAAGAAAATATGACTGGGAGTTGCAAAAATAAAATGCTTTGAGAAGGCATGTGTAGGTGCAGCAAGAAAAGTGAGTGTATTGAATGTCTTTAGAAGCCTTACATCGTAGCATCAGCCCTAACGACTACAATTAAGTAAATATGAGTAAATTATATGAAGACATACAATTAATTTTAGAAGCCTCACTTGTGGCATGAAAGTAGATCAAGGTAATTCTCCACCTACAATATCACCCATAACCATGACAAATTTGCTATATAACCCTCAATAATTCAATGCTAATCATGCAAAATGGGCCCAAATTGCAGTCCACAACAAACAAGAACGTAATTACTATGTCTATAGTAAGTAGTAAGTTAAGAGAAATAGTAGTTACCTCTGTTGGAGACTTCTTCAAACATAGTGATGCAAATTCTTTTATAGGGCGAGAAAAATGCTCATCTAGCTGCACATCCATTAAAAATGAGAATGCATTATTGAAAAGTTCATATAGTCAACAGAAAAATAAATAAGTAACCTGTGGTGGATTTTCTCTAGGAATGATGAAAAGCACTCTCATAGGATGGAGATCTGCAAGGGGAGGCTCTCCCTTGGCCATCTCAATTACAGTTATCCCTAAAGACCATATATCTGCCTGTTCCATCCCATAGTTTGCCACATTAAGACTTGAAGAAATGGGAGAATTCCATGAAAAGATTATAATGGAACTAATAGAAGCTCAAAGGGAAAATGGAGGAAGGCAAGTATAAGATATACCTTCTCATTGTATCCTTCAGAATTCTGAATTACTTCTGGAGCCATCCAAAATGGTGTTCCTACAAAAGTCTGTAACTTTAACTCATTAGATCAAGTTCAAGCAGTACCTCGTATAATAGGTTCGCAAATTATGAATTCTTAAAAGTTGATAGAAACAAAGTACTTGCACAAAATTTCAGACAGCTATATGCTTAGAAACAGTTTGTTTTCCTAGTAGTTACTAATGGTGGGCATAACCTAAGTATAAAGGCAAGCATACGAAAACCAGGTAATGGTGCCAAAGATGTGATACAATCATTCTCAAAAGCAGTTACATAACTAAAATTGTTGGTTACATTAAACATCATGAAGTTTTTGTCATGTCAACATATTTCGTCTGATGGTAAAAAATATTAGTAAATGAAACCCTCCATTCAAGACAGAGCGTGAGAGAAGACAGCTTGGAGAATCAGTAACTAAGTCCATACCAAATAAAAAGTACAGATGATAGATTTCAGCATGTCATCTTTTCATGGTTGGGAAAATAGAACCTTCAACAATATGATAATGCTACCTTTCGTCTCGAAATTGTTCTAGTAAGTTGCGCAGAAACACCGAAGTCTGCAACCTGTATCAGATGAACAAAAAGAATTGAAGTGCTACGCTAGCAAATAAATTTCATGATAAAATAAACTAGTATGCATTAGCCATTAAATTCCATCGATACGTGCAAAAAATTAGGAGTTGTGTGGAAATTTACAAACATAATTGTCATACCTTGACATCACCATTCTCTGTCAACAATATGTTTGCCGCTGGCCAAAAAAAAAAATATCATCATTTATAAATTAAGACAAAACATATGTGATGTATGTGTGTGTGTGTGAGAGAGAGAGAGAGAGAGAGAATGAGAAGGAGCAAACATTGGAATACAGTATAGAATATATCTACCCAATATGAAGATTGCAACATACATTTTTGACAATAGAGGAAGATCATCATGTATACTTCATTTAATTTCCTTGATGTAACAAAATGCTACACTACATGATGTTCAGATACAGAATCAAGTTTAAAACAAAGACATTACATGATTCAGGAAAAATGATAAATATACCTTTAATATCCCGATGAATTTTCCCCTCACTGTGGAGATAATCAATAGCATGCAGCAAATCACGCACAATCCAAGCGATGGAACCTTCATCTAGAGGTTGATTTGGTTGAATCTGCAAAGGTATAAAACAGTATCAGAAATTAGTCAATGTTTAAAGCACAGTATAATGTTCTTTAAGCTGAACATATCATTCAAAAATGAAACCTCCCAACTTCAAGAGGCAAATAACACTCCATTGACGTAAGTCATGCATTCAAGATACAATAGAAGAAAATTGTCAGCCAAAATAAGCTTAAGTCATATATATGAGTTTGCAACTTGGTAGGAATTAATACGATGTCTTCCATCAAGGGCATCATCCTAAATCCATTGAGATTTCATACATGGTTCTCTTAGGATAAATTCAAAGATATCAGAGTTCAACATAAGGAATACATTTTTAAAAGTGATCTTGGCAAGTGAATATCATAATACAAGAAAATCGAAACATAATTTCCAAGCTTTTCTTGGGAGACCTGATTGAAGAACAGATCCATGCATATCACAGTGAGATATAAATGATAAATGATAACAAAATCTCTCATTCTGAATATGGAAAATAAAGAGTATTTTTCAGGCAGCAGTTCACATGAATTTAATGCTAATGTTGATTAATGATAATATGCCATACTTCTCCACACGATTTATAATCAACTCTGTGATGGGGAAAATAAGACAAGAATAATAGCATACACAAGGATCCATTAGTGAACTACCATACCAAGTCAGCAACTGAACCACCAGCCATGTACTCCATTATTATCCACAGCTTAGTTTGATGCAAATATGATCCATAATACTCGGTGATGTATGGAGATCGGCATTCAGAAAGAACAGCAATTTCCTTTGGCAATCATCATGAAATAACAATATTAGTAGTGTTACAATTTCAAGCAACAGATTCCACTCAAATAAGTACAAGTTACCCTTTGAATGTCCTCAATTTCATCTTCCCTGTAGGAAAGAGTAAAACCAAATAGGAAAAATTCAGAGATGCAGAAAATACACTGATGCACAATATGAAAGGTTAGAGTATTATAAGGCAGTAAGGCAGAAAATTTTAATTTTTAACATTAAATTACTGAATGTTCATTTACATATAAACTCTGGATACCATTCTGCATAATGTAGGCTTTAGCATTTAAGCTAGAGTAGGGAATAACAGGAAGCAACAGATAAATTTGTAGCATATCAAGACGAGATCATTCTGATAAATATAGCAACATCAAAGGTATTCTGATAGCTTTTCATCCGTTGGTATTTGGCTATGGGTCTGAAATGTGATTGTTAATTTCTTTAAAATTAATGCTTTCTTTTTTTCTAACTGGGAACCTTTCAGGCAAGGTTCTAACCTTTGTTAATGACAGTAAAAAGCATAGGCACAATCAATTATCTAAAAGCAGGAATTTAACTCTCAACTACATCAGCTAATGTTAATCCTACGAAACAAGCAACTTGCCACATTATGTACACTGACTACAACATTTGCCTTGACATATAATACAAAGAAATATTTTGCAATCCATATTTAAATTCTCATCGACGCTCAATAGAGGAGGAAATTATAATCTACAACATATACACTGAACTCAATACATTAACTCTTACAAACCTTATCTCCACCCAATCATATCCTTCCTCCCTTAAAAATATCTACACAAACTGAGTTACCAAATGGTAGAAAAAGGAAAGACGAGAACAAGTGGAAATACAAAATTACAAGGATTCTTCCTTGCAATGGAGATCTAAAATTTATAATTTTTCTAAGCATGAATCAAGTGCAAAATGGCATGTAAAATCTTATGTTATAGCAGATAGGTTCCCATATGTGTACTTACGATTCTTCTAAATCAATGACCTTAATAGCAACCTCCTTGTTCAATTCCCTATCAAACCTGCAATGTAGAAAACAAGAACAAGATTCAACTAATCAAGCTATGTACAGATAAATGAAAGAGTAATAGAAAACCCACTGTAAAAAGATTTGTATGTGTCAAGTATTACTCCCAACACTATCCTCGCCAACTTCATATATATAAACATATTTTGTATTCAACAACGCACTAGGAAAGGACAAGGCAGGGTCATGCAAAATGCATGGAAGAAGCACATGTGGATACTTCACGAAGTTCATAGCTGCAGTGACATTTTTGTTTATCCAAATTTTGAATAAACACTCAAGACAACTATTATGAAAATCATGTTCATTTGTATGGGAGCTATATCAGCTTCAGGACAGTCTAAATAAGAATAATTAAAGATCTGAAGCATTAATGAAGCTTTTCAGTATAGCCCTGAAGGTAAGCGAAACGTGGGAAATAAGCGTAAAACATGTCCTATGTAAATATGAAACTAAGGAAGCAAATTTATACCATGCTCGGGTAATGCAGCAGCATAACTAGTGTTCTAGGAAACAAATAGGGAAAATCAAGCCCCTGAGATTTATTCAATACCAAAAGCAATCTATTTATATTTTTACAAGGAAATAAAAGAAATGAAAAACGTGACGCAGAGCTTTTTGGTTTAGATGCAACTTTTCTCATGAAAACTTGAATTGCAGTCGGCGGAATAACAACATAAAGTAGGTAACCGCTGAAGCTTACGTCAAACTATTCGAATTTCCAAGACAGTGGGACAATGGAAAGGTATAACAATTGGACTTTTTGTACGACCCTGTTATTTATTTTGTCTTTCCGCACACGAAACCTAAACTTAGGAAGAAAACAAACACAGGAATCTCCCAAGATTCGATCTTCAGTTCTTTAAGAATCAATATGCCAAAAAGCACATATCCTAAATTCTTGACATACTTGACATCATTTCATATTTGGAGGTGAAAACCCTATAACTGAAACAGATTCAGTGAACAAAGAGAATATGCGCAAACATTTAATGGTACAACAAAAATGAATGCAACAAAATGTATGTGAAGTAAGAGATCAGTACCCTTTGTAGACATCCCCAAAAGAACCTCTTCCAATTAACTCCAAATCACTAAATCTTGATCCAGAAGCCTCTATCAGGGCTGCCGCATCGTCCATTCTGCACTTGATATAATGAAATTTCTATCTTGGACGCACTCTCACATTCCAAAAATCAATTCTGCACCAGAATCAAAGCATTCTCCACTGAATTCCACTCCTATCTCAAAATCACCAAAAATCTGAGGAAAACTAAAAATGAATACAACAAGCCGAAATCAACAACAATGAAGCATTGCTAGAGATCCGAGGAATCACAAATTCTAGAACGAATGCTGTTAACGTGAAAATACAATGGGAGTCGCATATATGATGAACAATCCTAGTTAGGTAAAGTGGAAAATGCTAAAGTGACGGCTCAACAAATTTCATAGAGATATTACATTAGAATTCACGAGTCCCCTAAAAACCAGCAAGATTGCCAAAGAAATACGCCAAGAGTGACTTCAACGAGCGGCATAGGGTTTCCCCTTCCACACAAGAATACAATGATTCGGAGAAAACTGACCTTTCCAATGGCGGATTTCAGGAATTGGCTTCGAGATTCAGAGCGACTCAACAAGAAATCAGAAAGCGATAAATTGAAGTGAAAGCGGAGATCCTTCTGCCGAATAAATAATTACACAGACAGGAACAGAACCAAAATCTCGCGAATTCCTTCGGCGGCTTTCCTTTCCGTACCTGGTTTCCGCAGAGCCGAAAAGGATCGATGGGAACGAAGATAGCTGCCTGCCTCGCTCGAAAGCGCAACAATTGAATTTAAGGTACGGAAGAAAATGAAAATAATCTATATTAAAAATAAAATAAATAACATAATTAAAAAAATTTATAATATAATAATAATAATAATAACAGCAACATTACAACAACATACGGTAAAGATGACATATATGGAACGAGGCTCTAAATTTAATAATTCAATAAATGTTTATTTGAGCTGGACCGGCCCAAATACCTGTCTAAGGCCCACATGTATATTTTTGTTGATGTTAGGCCCAATTACTACTCTAAAGTTTCTTCTGTTGAGCTTGTTTGTTTGGAGCTTCCATATTTTTCAATAAAAAATTTTATCTATATTTTCTATAAAAACATATTGAGTGTGTTTACTTTCTATTTTTTATAATGTTTGTGGCTGGCAGATGATCTGAGGTGGGTTTGAATCCATGACCTTCTGATTACACATTCAATTTCAAAAAATATATTTTTTTGGCTTAGAGTAAAATTTGAGAAAATTTGGTTAAAGAAATAGACTTTATCATATTTTATTTTATCCTATATATATAATTATAACAAAGGGTGATTTTTTTTCTTTTTTATTTTGATTTTTGTACCGTTTTTCAAAATTACAGTTTACTATTTCATTAATTTCTCTTATTAATATTATAATTAACTATTCTTATTATATAAATTTTTCATAAATTTTTTATATTTAATTACTTTATTTGTTTATTAGCGTAAGTACACGTGCTACATACGGTGTAATTAATAAAAATTATAATATAATAATTTATATAATTTAAAATAAAAAACAATTAACCCCCTAGGGAATAAATGATAATTAAAATATTTGCAAAATTTAATAAAAAATAAAATTAATTAATCAAGTTATAATTAATTTATAGAACACGTGACAATTGAAGTATTTATTATAACAATGACATCTGAAAAATCACAAATATTTAATATTTAGATCTTCATATTAAAAATAATATTTTCATCTTCATCTTTACCATTAAGATAATATATTTTGTCTTAGTTAGAAAGATTATATATATTAATTGAATATTTTTGAATTATTTTTTATTTGTATACATATATTTGCGTATTTATTTAATTATTTATCGGCTTATTGGCGCATACCACGGTGGGGTCTTCGACTGTTTATTATTTTGTTAGTGTTAATGTTCGAATATTTTTATTAAAATACTGATACTATGGTAATTTTATAATTTTTTTTCACAATTTTTAGGTATACAGAAAGAAGAAAAAGAAATAGGACAAGATAAAAATGCAGTGGAATGACAGTGGATGAAATAAAAAAAAAATATCAAATAATAAGAACGTAATTTTTTTTTATTATTTTAGTTTAAACGTGTGATTTTTTGTGTTAATTTTCTAATAATTTTTTTCACATGTTACTTTATTTTTAGTAAAGATGAAAATGAAAATATTATTTTTAGTATGAAGATCCAAATATTAAATATGTGTGATTTTTCAGTTGTCACTTATAATAAATACTTCAATTGTCACGTGTTCTACAAATTAATTAAAAAGTGATTAATTTATTCTATATTTTATTGAATTTTGCAAATATTTTAATTCTCATTTATTTCATAGTGGGTTAATTTTTTTTTTATTTTAAATTTTTTATTTTCCGTGCAGGAGTTTTTTGCTACGCGTGGCGCCCACTCAGTCTCGATGGACGGTCTGAGCGGCATTCGTATGTCGGGTCACGAGTACGCTGTTTTCTGCCGGGGTAGACATCGACAATGATCCTTTCGCAGGTTCACTTATAGAATTCATTTTATGAATTCTCCTCTCTCTCAATGATAAGGCTTATTCGACTTCTCGCGATGACGCGGGTTCGTCGGCGCCCGTGCGCAAACCCCTGTTCGCAAAATTCGGTTGGACGACGGCTCCGTCAGCGGCTGCCGCGATATGGTTCGCAGGAAATCCCATTTATGTTGCCTGCATATACATGAAAATCCGTGCAGGAGCTTTTTGGGACGCGTGGCGCCCACTTAGTCTCGATCGACGGCCTGAGCGACATTCGTACGTCGGGTAACGAGTACGTTGTTGTCTGCTGGGGCAGACATCGACGATGATCCGTTTGCAGGTTCACCTATAGAATTCATTTTACAAATTCTCCTCTCTCTAAACGATAAGGCTTATTCGACTTCTCGCGATGACGCGGGTTCGTCGGCGCCCGTGCGCGAACCCCCGTTCGCAAAATTCGGCTGCACGATGGCTCCGTCAGCGGCTGACGGGGTTGTCGTTCGTGATTCCTGGCCGCGACGTGGATCCCAGGAAATCTTATTTTTGCTGCCTACACATGCATGAAAATCCGTGCAGGAGTTTTTTGGGACGCGTGGCGCCCGCTGAATCTCGATCGACGGCCTGAGCGGCATTCGTACATTGGGTCACGAGTACGCTTTTGTCTGCCGGGGCAAACATCGACGATGATCCGTTCGCAGGTTCACTTATAGAATTCATTTTACAAATTCTCTTCTCTCTAAACGATAAGGCTTATTCGACTTCTCGCGATGATGCGGGTTCGTCGGCGCCTGTGCGCGAACCCCCGTTCGAAAAATTCGGCTGGACGACGGCTTCGTGAACGGCTAACGGGTTCAGCGTTCGTGATTCCTGGCTGCGACGTGGATCACAGGAAATCTTATTTTTGGTGCCTACATATGCATGAAAATCCGTGCAGGAGTTTTTTAGGACGCATGGTGCCCGCTCAATATCGATCGACGGCCTGAGCGGCATTCGTACGTCGGGTCACGAGTACGCTTTTGTCTGCCGGGGCAAACATTGACGATGATCCTTTCGCAGGTTCACCTATAGAATTCATTTTACAAATTCTCCTCTCTCTAAACGATAAGGCTTATTCGACTTCTCGCGATGACGCGGGTTCCTCAGCGCCCGTGCGCGAACCCCCATTCTCAAAATTCGCCTGGACAACAGCTTCGTGAGCGGCTGACGGGGTCGTCGTTCGCGATTCCTGGCCGCGACGTGGATCGCAGGAAATCCCATTTTTGCTGCCTACATATGCATGAAAATCCGTGCAGGTGTTTTTTGGGACACGTGGCGCCCACTCAGTCTCGATCGACGGCCTGAGCGACATTCGTACGTCGGGTAACGAGTACGTTGTTGTCTGCCGGGGCAAACATCGACGATGATCCGTTCGCAGGTTCACCTATAGAATTCATTTTACAAATTCTCCTCTCTCTAAACGATAAGGCTTATTCGACTTCTCGCGACGACGCGGGTTCCTCAGCGCCCGTGCGCGAACCCCCATTCTCAAAATTCGCCTGGACAACGGCTTCGTGAGCGGCTGACGGGGTCGTCGTTCGCGATTCCTGGCCGCGACGTGGATCGCAACAAATCCCATGTTTGCTGCCTACATATGCATGAAAATCCGTGCAGGTGTTTTTTGGGACACGTGGCGCCCACTCAGTCTCGATCGACGGCCTGAGCGACATTCGTACGTTGGGTAACGAGTACGTTGTTGTCTGCCGGGGCAGACATCGACGATGATCTGTTCGCAGGTTCACTTATAGAATTCATTTTACAAATTCTCTTCTTTCTAAACAATAAGGCTTATTCGACTTCTCGCGATGATGCGGGTTCGTCGGCGCCCGTGCGCGAACCCCCGTTCGAAAAATTCGGCTGGACGACGGCTTCGTGAACGGCTAACGGGTTCAGCGTTCGTGATTCCTGGCCGCGACGTGGATCACAGGAAATCTTATTTTTGGTGCCTACATATGCATGAAAATCCGTGCAGGAGTTTTTTGGGACGCATGGTGCCCACTCAATATCGATCGACGGCCTGAGCGGCATTCGTACGTCGGGTCACGAGTACGCTTTTGTCTGCCGGGGCAAACATTGACGATGATCCTTTCGCAGGTTCACCTATAGAATTCATTTTACAAATTCTCCTCTCTCTAAACGATAAGGCTTATTCGACTTCTCGCGATGACGCGGGTTCCTCAGCGCCCGTGCGCGAACCCCCATTCTCAAAATTCGCCTGGACAACAGCTTCGTGAGCGGCTGACGGGGTCGTCGTTCGCGATTCCTGGCCGCGACGTGGATCGCAGGAAATCCCATTTTTGCTGCCTACATATGCATGAAAATCCGTGCAGGTGTTTTTTGGGACACGTGGCGCCCACTCAGTCTCGATCGACGGCCTGAGCGACATTCGTACGTTGGGTAACGAATACGTTGTTGTCTGCCGGGGCAGACATCGACGATGATCCATTCGCAGGTTCACCAATAGAATTCATTTTACAAATTCTCCTCTCTCTAAATGATAAGGCTTATTCGACTTCTCGCGATGACGCGGGTTCGTCGGCGCCCGTGCGCGAACACCCGTTTGCACAATTCGGCTGACGGGGTCGTCGTTCGCGATTCCTGGCTGCGACGTGGGTTGCAGGAAATCCCATTTTTTCTACCTACATATGCACAAAAATCTGTGCAGGAGTTTTTTGGGACGCGTGACGCCCACTCAGTCTCGATCGACGTCCTGAGCGGCATTCGTACGTCGCGTCACGAGTTCGCTGTTGTCTGCCGGGGCAGACATCAACGATGATCCTTCAGCAGGTTCACCTATAGAATTCATTTTACGAATTCTCTTTTCTCTCAAGGATAAGGCTTATTCGACTTCCCGCGATGATGCGGGTTTGTCAGCGCCCGTGCGTGAACTTCCGTTCGCAAAATTCGGCCAGACGACGGCTCCGTGAGCTGCTGACGGGGTCGTCGTTCGCGATTCCATGCCGCGACATGAATTGCAGGAAATCCTATTTTTGCTGCCTACATATGCACAAAAATCCGTGCAAGAGTTTTTTTGGGACGCGTGGCGCCCACTCAGTCTCGATCGACGGCCTGAGCGGCATTCGTACGTCGGGTCACGAGTTTGTTGTTGTCTGCCGGGGCAAACATCGACGATGATCCTTTCGACGAAGATACTGCCCGAACGACGACCTTGTCCACCGTCCACGGACCCGTCGTCCAGCTGTATATCGCGAATAAGGATTCGCGCAG